CCTTCCTTTCGGTTTGGCGACAACGCCAAGGGTTTTTACCAAGCTTATGAAGCCGGTAGTAGGGGCATTGAGGCAAAGAGGTATTCGCCTAATTATATATTTAGACGATATCCTAATTATGGCCGAATCTCACGATCTAGCATTACATCATGCAGCCTCAACCCTGAATCTCCTAGAGGGGCTAGGCTTCATAGTAAATTACCAGAAATCACAACTCTTGCCTTGCCAAGAGATGGAATTTCTGGGGTTTTTGATAGATTCAAACGCCATGACACTCCAACTTCCAGGAGAAAAGTTGCGAAAAATATAATCCGCAGAAAGTGTCAGAAATTGTTAGATCAAACGACAATTTCGGTACGAGAATTGTCGAAATTCCTGGGCCTCCTAACCTCCTCCATTCAGGCAATATTCCCTACTCCTATTCATTACAGGCATCTGCCAAGGCTAAAAAATACAACTTTAGCCTCCCTTCAAACCTACGAAGCCCAGGTTGCTTTAGACCAGCCAGCAAGAGAAGAGATTCTTTGGTGGAGAGACCATCTCCATGCATGGAATGGCCGGGCTTTGTTTCAGAATCCTGTCGAGCTTATAATCGAGACGGATGCCTCTCGGAAGGGGTGGGGAGCATGTTGCGAGGGGGTGAGGACAGGGGGTCCTTGGTCCTTCAAAGAAAAGAGACTTCACATCAACTGTCTCGAACTCCTTGCAGGTTCTTTGGCAATCAAAACATTCACCAAATCCAGAGCCTGTGCTCATGTAAAACTGCTGATGGACAATGCATCAGCAGTTGCTTACATAAACAAGATGGGGGGCACTCATTCCAAGGGTCTAGCGGAATTAGCGATAGATCTGTGGGAATGGTGCTTTCAGAAAGATATGATGGTGTCAGCTCAACATCTCCCCGGGTACTTGAATGTAAGGGCAGACCAGGAGTCGAGAGTGATACAGGATTCCAGCGACTGGAAACTGAACCTGTCAGTTTTTCAAGCCCTGCTCAACAGGTGGGGCCCTTTCGAGGTAGATCTTTTTGCATCCAGGCTAACACACCAACTGCCCAAATTTGCCAGTTGGAAACCCGATCCAATGGCAACTTACGTGGATGCATTTTCCGTGAATTGGAACGAAATTCGGGGGTACGCCTTTCCCCCATTTGCCCTGATAGGTCGTTGTGTACGGCAGGTCAGGTCCCAGAAAGTGGATCAGTTAGTTCTAGTAGCACCGGTATGGCCAACTCAGCCTTGGTACCCATTGCTACTGCAACTGTGTGTGGATCTTCCACTACTATTTCCGATGTCTCCTCAACTTCTGATGAAGGGAGAACAGTCGCACCCCCTAAGCAATCTCCAATTAGCTGGGTCGAAGCTGTCGGCAAATCCCATGAAACAGCAAACGTTTCAGAAGAGACTCGAAACGTTTTGTTGGCGGCCTGGAGACAAAACACCAGTAGTGCCTATGCCTCTGCCTGGAGTAAGTGGGTTAGCTGGTGTGATCAACGAAAAATTAATCCACTTTCAACATCTATAGAATCTATCCTAGAGTTTCTTACAGGACAATATAAGGAGGGCAAAGCATATAGATCAATTAATGTTTATCGCTCTGCCTTATCTGCAGTGTTACCACTTATTGATTCCTGGAAAGTTGGCTCTCATCCACTAGTTTCCCAACTATTGAGGGGGATATTTAATTTACGACCTCCTCAACCAAAATACTCGCACACATGGAAAGTCTCTCAGCTGTTGGGCTACATAAAACCCCTTGGGCCTAATGAAAATTTAAGCCTAAAAAATTTGTCTTTCAAATTGGTAACACTATTGGGTCTGACAGCACCAGATAGATCGTCTGACCTAGCTAAACGAGATTTGAGGTGGCGTATTTTTCATCCTGAAGGAGTATCGTTTTCACTCTCTGGTTTGTCAAAGACCTCTAAACCAGGAGATTCACCAAAAACTAGTTTTCATGCAACATTTAAGGAAGATAAGGATTTATGTCCAGTGGAATGTTTAAAGTTTTATGAAATTAAAACTAAAGAATTTCGATCTGGTGATGAGCATAACAAACTGTTTTTGTCTCACATTCTTCCTCATAATCCTGTATCTTCATCAACTTTAGCTAGATGGATAAAGTCGTTGTTGCAATTAGCAGGCATAGATACATCTATTTTTACTGCGCACTCATTAAGAGGAGCTGCTACAACAGAGGCATTAAATCAGGGTGTTTCAATCACAGATATTTTAGGGATGGCAGATTGGTCTCAGGAGAGTACGTTTGCACGATTTTATTATAAGCCTCGATTTGATGTCTCACCGGGTAATGCAGTGTTATCAGCTTGCCATTCTTGATATTTACATTTTAGAACTTTGAATATGCATTGTTAAATTGAGTCGAGTATCTCGAAATATAATTGTAGATTATGCAAGTCTGTTTTAACAGATGCAGTATAATATTAATTATATGAGAGATATGAGACGAGATTTAACAATGCATTCCCGCCTCGTATAGTTAATCCCTCCCTATGCATTGTTAAATGTTTTATAGGTCGTTCACAAAAAGACGAACGCAGGGCGCAGGTCAGTGGTGATGTGAGGATGGACTGAGAACGTTATTTTGTTATGGTTATAGTTGATATACTTTAAATTCACTGTAAATACGTTAAAAAGGAGTGAATAATAAAGATAATGCATTGTTAAATCTCGTCTCATATCTCTCATATAATTAATATTATACTGCATCTGTTAAAACAGACTTGCATAATCTACAATTACAGCGTAATATCGTAGTATAAACTTTGATAATATTGTCAAACACACAGTGTATAGTAGCATAATATCGTAGTATAAACTCGTTGATAATATTGTCACACATACAGCGTAGTATCGTAGGCCCCTAGGCCTAGTGGCTATAGTATAAACTTTGATAATATTGTCAAACATACAGCGTAGTATCGTAGGCCCCTCCTAGTATAAAGTTTGATAATATTGTCAAACATACAGCGTACTAGTAGCGTCAGTAGTATCGTAGTATAAACTCGTTGATAATATTGTCAAACATACAGGACATACAGCGTAGTAGCGTAGTATAAACTTTGATAATATCACAACTTACAAGTTTGAGTGACGAGTACACTTTACGTTCACGGAGCATTTTTATCAACAATCACGCCTCACGGCTGTAGAACAAATCACATTTCACGACACTAAAATCAAGCATTTAACCGATTTCACGCGAACAAATATTCACCATTCACGGCTCACCGCGAAAATACCCTTTCCCACCCTCTACATACGATCGCAATTTTCCTGTTCACTATGGCAAAATGTATATACTTACGTAACTACTTTTCTGAAAAAAACAGAAGTACCAGACAGTAATACTGGCGTACCTCCGGTACGTAAATACGCGAATTATCGTATCCAGTTTACTGAAACGTGTTTTACTACAGTAGGTGTTAAATATGGTGGACAACTCCCCCAAGGAATGACAGTTATACACTCTAAAAACACTCTGGTTAAATTTGGGTTAATTCAACCAGTACGGGGTTAAAAATCCACCAACACAAGTCTGGTTAAAAAAAATTAACCATTTTCCTGGTTAAAAGTCCAAAAAAGTGTACCAAATTTTTGTTGAATTGATAATTTTTAACCAGGAAATGGGTTAAATTTAACCAGAATGTGTTGGGTGGATTATTAACCCAATTCCTGGTTGAATTTAACCAGAGTGTTTTTAGAGTGTAGGTGTGACTAAACAGTGGCAAATACCTATAATGGAACCATTTAGCGTCTTTTGTTAGCTTAGGACCATAGGAAACGCTTACTGCCTCAGTGTGGATATACACTCAGAGTAACATCAGAAGCATCATATACACCTGAGTACAATTACACCAATACAGAGAAATCATGATTATTAGATTACATTGATATCGAAGGAACTAGATTCGGTTCCGAAATATCACATACTCGAAACGACCTGACCGCGTAGCTCAGTTGGCAGAGCATTGGGCAAGTATTCCAAAGGTCGTAGGTTCGATTCCCACCGTGGCCAGGCATATTTTTCAAGCTTGCCTGGTGTGGGTATACACTCAGAGTAACATCACAAGCATAATAAAACAATGTATTTATAATAAAAGACACTTACCTAAGCGCCCACTACTGGACGAAGAACTGCTGGAGTCGTCATCGCTTGAGGATTCTTTCGCCAACAACGCTATGAAAACAATGCACAGTATCAACAATATCCCAGCAACAACCAGTAAAATCTTTTCCTTTTGAGTATGGATTGCAAATTTTGATCTTTCAGAAGATACAGTTAGTATATTTTCTTGTGAACTGTGTTGAGACGGTTTCATATTTTCCATCGGGTGGGCTTCATTGAAATGAGCCATGATAAAGTTTTAGAATCCCGTTTTTCCAAATGGTTAGCTACCCTGTTGCACCGCTGTTTAAAATAAGATCCTTGTCTCCTGGTGGGCCAGCCAAAGAGAGTTCAACTCGCTGGAGCGTATCCTGTATAATCCTTTCAGAGCTGAAACTTAATCCGACAGGAAAGATCGTTAAAATTAAACTTGGATCGAAAAAGACTGGACCGTACAAGTTTGGATCTGGACGCCCAAAATCCTGGAAATAGGCCGTTTGCTGTGACCTCGAAAAGTGCCTAGAAAACGATTTTCATTAAGCATGTCTTGGAACTGAAATATTTTTATGGGAACTAACATTTTCGAACACGCTGATTTCAAATCCGAAAACTTCCCGCACCGTAGACCCGCAGTTTTCTCACAAACTGCTATTTTATCTTCGCTAATTTCACAACAAATTTTTTCATTGTTCAACGACACGGATGGATGAAGACACACGATTGCATAACTCAAAATGACCAATTCCTATGAACCAGTCTCTACATTGAACAAAAGATCGGTTTTGCTCGAATTATTTTGAGTTATGTAATTTTAAGCGTGTTGGACGTAAACAACATATCTTGTCTACAACTTTGGGAAGGTACCGATATCGCTTTGTAAAATCCTCAGTTCTGGCTGTGTCTCGATAAAATCACAAGGACGTGTCAAGAAGATTTGTTTAGAATAGTGTGCGAGCTACCTTAAGTAGGGCCCAGGCCCAACCGAGAGAACACGTGTTTACGAAGAACTTTATACGAAAGCGATTTTACTCGAACTTTAGTTTATATTTTAGGTTTTTAAAACTTTTTATGTTTTGTTTGTTAATGTTTGATATTAAAATACGATAAATATAACATGGCGCCCAACGTGGGGCAGAATTTCATCGAAAAATGACCGAAATCAAAGAGAAATTAACGCGAATACGAGCCATACGAGGGAATTATTACAAAGTTAATCAATGAAGCCGAAGGACTTTTGAAAGAAGAAATCTTGGAACGAGGACGATTGAATACGATAAACGGGTTACTCGAAGAAAAGCTTAGATTTGTAAAGGAATTGGACGAGAAAATAATCGAAATTTGCGAAGTTGTAGACATAGCAAACGAAATCGACGAAGCAGAGGAGTTAGTATCGAGAGTTTTAGACACTCAACGACATATATTCGAGAAAACGCAGGAGGTCGAAGAAGTTTATAAGGAAGTACAAAGCAAGAGCTCGGATAATGTGCCTGCGAATACTACGAACGAGGAACCGGCAGTGGAACAACAACCCAGCGAAGAAACTGTCCTGGACACTTCAGCTAGTACTAGCAATAGTCAATCTGTGTCACCAAGTCAACCCGAGTCAACTGAATCTGCAGGTACAGTGTATAATGAACAAAATTCTAACATTAACAACAATAATGTGCCTGTGTTAACCCAAAACCGATCAAAATTACGAAAGCTTGTATTACCGAAATTTCGTGGCGATGTCACTCAGTGGAGAACCTTCTGGGATAGTTTTAATAGTGCCATACATACCAACAGCTATTTAACGAAGATAGACAAATTTAATCATTTAAATTCATTATTGGAGGGACAGGCTTTACGGGCTAACCCTAACTGAGAGCAACTATCAGTCAGCTATCGATATTTTAAATCAACGTTTTGGTAAAACCCAGCACATTATTTCTACGCATATGGATGAACTCCTTAAAATTCCAGCATGTACCACAGATAAGATCTCACAACTACGATTCGATGATTATAAAATTAGCATCAATGTCCGGGGGTTAGAAGCTCTGGGGGTCAACTCAAGCCAATACGGCAGCCTCTTAATACCGGTTGTCATGTCAAAATTGCCACAAGATGTTCGACTTCAGATAGCTAGAAATACTGCACAAGATGTGTGGGAAATGTCAGAACTGTTAAGTGTTATTCGAAAGGAAATCGAAGCTCGAGAGATAAGTGACGGAATAAAAGTGACTCCTGAAAAACCCAAGGCAGCACAGCCTAAACCACCGCCCCATGGTTCTGCTGCTGCATTGGTAGCTAATGGCCAACCCTCTGGAAATAAAATTCAATGTGTGTATTGTTCTGGCCATCATTTTTCTGCCTCTTGCACAACGACAAACGAAGTGCATGTTCGACTAGAAATCCTAAAACGAGATCGAAGATGTTTTGTTTGCCTCAAAAGGGGACATCGAAGTAATCAGTGTTTAAATCAAAGGGGTTGTAGACGGTGTAATGGTAGACATCATCAATCCATCTGCAATCAACAAATTCCGACATTGAAACCTGATGCACACGAGCCAGCAGCCGCAACAAAGAGAAACGAAGGTGTTCATGGTTCCCAAACCTTGCAACAATTCCAAAATCGAACTGAAACCCCAGACTCTAATGCCCACACAGTTCATGTACAGAGTTGAGAGTACTACAACTAGTGCCAATGGAAAAGGACAAGTAATGTTACAAACTGCTACTGCTATAGCAACAAATGAAGATGGATCTAAATCGACTAAAGTAAAAATATTATTTGACAGTGGGAGTCAACGCTCCTACATTACTGATAGTTTGAAATCAAGACTGAACATAAAAGCCAAGAAGACCGAAACACTTCACCTCAACACCTTCGGTGAACGAAGTTATCGAAAGCAGAAATGTGAATTATCGCCATTGTCACTTCGAAGCAACAAAAACAAAGATGTTATGATTTCTGCCCTAACATTTTGGGAGACAGAATCGATTGGGATCAAAGGTGATCCAGAGCCTAAAGAATTTATCGAGTCGTTCAACGAAACTGTACATTTCAACGGAACATGATATGAAGTTGAATTACCATGGAAACAAGATTGCCCTTCAATACCGAGTGATTACCAGCTGTGTGAAAAACGTCTCAGATCTCTACATCGCAAGATGTTGCATCAACCAGAGTTATTACATGAGTATAATCAAATTATTCAACAGCAGATACAAGATGGAATCGTGGAAGAAGGTTCCAGAGGAAGAAATTGAAAACACTGATAATGAATCTGTTCATTATTTGCCTCATCATGGAGTGGTACGAAGAGATCGCGAAACAACAAAGCTTAGAATCGTTTATGATGGGTCAGCTAAGCCACCAGACCGTGAGTACTCATTGAACGATTGTCTAGAGACAGGCCCTAACTTTATCCCTCAGTTGTTTGACACACTCGTCAAGTTTAGATGGCATAGAATTGGCATAACTGCAGATATAGAGATCGAAAGCTTTCCTTATGGTGGCAATTAACGACATGAATAAGTATATGTTACGTTTCCTATGGCTAAAAGACCCAAATGATCCGAATTCAGAACTTGTACAATTTCGATTTACCCGCCTAGTATTTGGCCTTCGACCTTCACCCGCGATTTTAAGCTCAACCACCCGACACCACTTGGAAACGCAGAAAAATTTCGACCCTCAACTGATCGAACTGCTAAAGAAATCCTTCTATGTTGACGATTTTGTGTCAGGTGCAGACAACGAGAAAGAAGCATCTGAAGTAACATCGAATGCGAAGTTGATCATGCAAAAGGGATCATTTAATCTACGAAAGTGGAACACTAACTCAAGTAACCTTAAGAAAACGTTTTCAGAAGAAAGTTCACCAAATCCAACTAATGCGAAACACGTTAAAGAAGAAGACGAATCTTATGCAAAGACTGTGACTGGAACAACAATTAAAGCGAGCAGCAACACGGTCAAGGTG